CTTATAAAAGGCCGTGTTACAAACGAATAAACGCCATTTTACCACCCATCACATCGGTGTCTGTACGTTAATCGCCAAAGTGACTAAGAAGTAGTCATTGTGCTCTTCCCAAACCAAATCGTCAGGCAACACAAAGGCAGACATGGAACCAGTCTGCAAACAGGGCAGCAAGGAGGCTTGGCAGAGTTCCAGACTGCTCAGGCTCAGCAGGGAAGGGCACATGGCAAGTCCTCCTGCAGCCACTGCCAGGCGTGGGAAGGACAAGGCAGGGATTTTGCAGAACCCCTGTGGGAGGCAGAAGAAGGGGATGTTGTGTGCCCAGACTTCATCAGGGCCTTTGACATGGTCTCCTGTTGTCTCCTTAGAGCCAGATTGGCGACAGTTGGACTGGACAAGTGAAACATGTGATGGGTGGGAAGCTGAAGGGTTCAAAAGTCATTGAACTAAGTCCTCTTGGCAGCAACTCCCTGGTGACATCCATCAGCCCTTGACCATTCCTATGGAACATTTTTATTGTGTCTCTGACTGATGGGATGAAATGCACTTTCCACTCCTTTGGGGATGATGCCAAGTTGCAACAAGTCTGAGAAATCTCATCTAGTTAATGGTGATTGAACAAAAGATCTGGTCAAGGTGACTGAGCTGGATAAACTTGTCCGGCCATCAGTTGCCCACCAGGGCACAAGACAGTGAAGAAAAAACTCATGGGTCAGAGGAAAGGCAATTCAAAAGTGGGGGGAATGACCAAACAGAACCAAAGCAAAGACAAAGAAAGACAGAATGACAAATTATGCTGAGTTGGAAAGGACCCCCAAGGATCATCCAGTCCAATCCTTAGCCCTGCACAGGACCATCCCCAAGGCTCACACCATGAGCCTGAGAGGATCATCCAAACACTCCTTGAGCTCTGTCAGCCTTGGTGCTGTGCCCACTGCCCTGGGGAGCCTGTTCAGTGCCAACCACCCTCTGGGGGAAGAACCTTTTTCCAAGATGGAGCCTAACCCTGCCCTGACACAACTCCAGGCATTTCCTCAGTGCTGTCCCTGGTCCCCACAGAGCAGAGCTCAGGGCCTGCCCCTCCTCTTCCCCTGCCCAGGAAGTTGTGACTGCAGTGAGGTCTCTCCTCAGTCTCCTCTTCTCCAGCTGAACACACCAAGTGCCCTCAGTGTCCTCACACACCTTCCCCTCCAGGCCCTTCTTCACTGCCCTCCTTTGGACACTCTCCAATGGCTCAATCTCTCCCTTCCATTGTGTTCCCCCAAACTGCCCCAATGTTGAGGTGAGGCCGCCCCAGGGCAGAGCAGAGCGGTAACATGGAAAGCACAGAAAATCGTGGCATCAAGGGGTCACTGTGACACTGTGGGAACTCATGGAATGAAGGGGCCACTGTGACACTTCAGGGCCTCGTGGAACCTTGTCTGTTGGGAAACACAAAAGGATGTGTGCAAGGGTTTCACTGACTAAAAGGAGAATTTTGGAGGGGGAGATTTACACACCCAGATCTTGGTGTGTCCACACATCTCTGCCTGGGTGTGGGTGTGAATTGACTGTGGTGTGAGTGTTGTTATTGTGAATCTATAATTCAGTCCCTGTTCAATTGTAGTAAATGTTACTGAATCCCTGTTAAAAGAGAATGATGAAAATGTTGAAAGTTGGTCAGTGATTAGGTGCTACTAATCTCTTTTGCCCCCTTTACTTTGTGTCCCAATCCTTTGCACCCTGACCCTTTTGCATCCCAAGGCTCTGTAGAAATCATTCCCTGTCATAGAAAAATTATATTTTTCTGACTTCCACATTAAAATCTTCCTCATTAGCTAAACCACAAAACAATTCCAATTAGCTGTAGGAATCTTGAAGACATAAACACAATTAAAAGAAGGGAAATAATTTGTTTTTCTGTATTTTAATGAGTCCCACAGTGTGTTCAGAGACAAGTCCATCATCCTGAGGTACTGAGAGAAGATTGAAGAAGCTGCTCAAGAAGTCAGAAGCCAAACTCCCAGTCCCTTGAAGCATTGCTGGGCCCCACTGAGGGCAGGCACTGACAAAGCCTCCCCAGGGACTCCTGAGAGCAGATCCTTGCAGGCC